TTCAGATTTATATATCCAAGCAAGGTCGGCTGAAATTTGACAGTGTTGAGTTCAAGAGCAGCAAATCTTGGAAAAAAATGTGGTATTTTTCGAAGTTCCTTCATCCTTTTCTGAGCTACAGTGGTATTTCTTGATCTTTTCTTGCAGGCTTCTAATCTTTGCTCCAAAAAGGGCTTTCCCGAAAATCGAAATCCTCCGCGAATACCACAATGTGAGATTTGAAACGGTGAAGCTTGGGATTTTATTCAATTAGCGCGTATATCTGTGTGCATGTGTGCTTGAAAGTTGCGAGCCATGGTGGCCGCCGTATCTGGAGAAGCTCCGGAACCCCAAAACCCCAAAACCGCCGCCGCGGCCGCGGCCGCCGCCTCACAAAACGAACATCCGAAGAGGCCGCCATTGTTGCCGTCGGAGAAGGACAACAGCAATGGAGCTCCAAACAAAAACCCGAGGAAACCCAAATCGCGAGTCGTCTCCTCGAGATACATGTCCCCCTCAACTTCCTCCACCTCCACTTCAAATTCATCCTCGATCTCCTCTTCATCTTCTTCCTCCTCCTCCTTGTCCGCTTCCAGAAGGTTCCCCTCCCCTTTAATTTCCAGAAACTCGAACCCTCCATCCAGCACCCCCTCTCTGCTACCCAAGAGGTCCGTCTCCGCCGACCGCCGCCGCCCGACGCCGCTTCGAGCGGCGGCGAGACCCCTCCTTCCAGATCTCGACACTGCCAAAAACAGCCACGCCCCCGAAATCTCGTCCGCCGCCAGACTCCTCGTCACCTCCACCCGGAGTTTGTCCGTTTCTTTTCAGGGGGAAGCCTTTTCACTGCCCATCAGTAAAACCAAGACAACTCCATCTTCCCCTAATTTGAGCACCGTCAGAAAAATAACTCCCGAGAGGAGGAGAAACAGTACCCCTTCCAGAACAAAGGTTGAAGGAGATCACATCGAGAGTTCTAAGCCGTCCGATCAGCACCACCTGTGGCCCGCCAGAACTCGCCTTGTCACAGCCACTTCATTATCAAGAAGCTTCGACTGTACTGGAAATTCAAATGGGAATTCAGTTGGTAATAACGGATTATCTCTCCCGTGCAATCAAATCCCGTCCGATTCAGACAGTGTCTCATCAGACAGCACATCGGGGGCCCAAGAGTGCGGCTTAAACGGGCCCAAAGGCCTTGCCATCTCGGCCCGTTTCTGGCAGGAGACCAACAGTCGTCTTAGGAGGCTGCAAGATCCGGGCTCGCCTTTATCGACTAGCCCCGGATCAAAACTCATTGTGCCGCCAAAAGTGAAGAGGTACTCGAGTGATGCCACGCTGATGTCATCGCCAAGGACAGTTTCGTCCCCTTTGCGTGGGGCCACTAGGGCTGCTTCGCCTGGGAAACTCATGAGCCCTTTGCGTGCTCACAGCCCGTCAAGGATAAGAAATGCGGTTAGCACGATTTGCAACAGTTTTCTGGACACGCCTTCGGTGCTTAGCTTCGCGGTGGATGTGCGGAGGGGGAAAGTCGGGGAGAATAGGATAGTGGATGCGCACTTGTTGAGGCTTTTGTACAATCGGCACTTGCAGTGGAGGTTTGTGAATGCGAGGACTGAGGATGTCCTGCTCGTGCAGAAACATGGAACCGAGGTAAGATTTTATCATGTTATCATTCTAGTTTTAGTTTTTTNGGATTTTTTCACCACAGAAATGTGATCTTTGTGGTGTATTGTATGAATTGTTGGGTAGTTGTGGTTTTATCCGTAGCATGATATTGTCGTCTTGGTTTTATTTTGGTTTTTGTTTTGAGATAATTTGTTGTTGGAAGTTGGAAATATATAATTCGCATGAGGAGTTGAGCAAGTGAAGAAAGCGTTTAGATTAGTTGGATTGACTTGTTATAGTGGATCGAGTGTTTAGGTTGTATGTTTTCATATATGTAGCAACGAAATGGTGTCTCCTTCACTATGCTAAATTCAATATGATTTAGGGTACTATGAAAATGATTTGTGTCCGAATTTGAAATTTGATAAGATATATGCAGGTAGGGAAAGGAATCAAGGGTTTATTCTAACAATTTTTTAGGCATGCGAGCTTACTAAGTTTATTAGTATTACGATTGCTAATAAATTGAGTCGTTAACTATTTGGATACAGACTTCTTGTCAGTCTAGACTTGGATATTTCAGTTGACATTAGCGATTGTGAACTGTGCTTTTGATGAAGAGGGTTTTGCTAGCTGAAAATTTGCAGTACCTAGAAAATATTGACAAGCGGATAAGAAAACCGTGAAGTGTACTTTGGGAACCCTCAATTGTTTCATCTTGTATTATAGTTTTGTGCTAAATATTGACAAGCACGTAAGAAAATCACTATGTGGACCTACAATCGTTCCATATTGTATTACAATTTTGTGCCACTGATGTTCTTAGTTCTTATGGCTTACGCTGCAATAAACAGATGAACTTTGTCCGAGAAAATAATTGGCATAATAATGCAATAAACATATGAACTACGTCCGAAATAATTATGGGCACAATGGATTCGTTTCATTTATTATCTTTTTTTTTTTTCTTCTGTTTACCATGCCGAAAATAATTGGCATAATAATGCAATAAACATATGTTCTTAGTTCTTATGGCTTACACTGTTTATTTGACCACTCACTTTCCATTGGTAGGATGATTGCTCAAAGGGTGTGTTAGAGTAGCCCCTGTAGATCTAAATTTCTTTACATGCCTATTAGAATTTTCAAACACGCACTAGAAGTTGACCTATGAACTCGGAAAATTCTGACGTACTATTAGAATAGTGGCTCGGGTACGGCCTATTAGACCAAAAAGTATAGAAAGTGATATCTAGTGTTAGTTTGTAGGAGTGCATGCTTCAATTTCGGTTCTTAAGGTCTAATAATCCCGTGGCCATTTGATATAGAAAATCTTCCGGGGAAAGGCTGATTACTAGCAGTTTCTTCTGCGTCTTTGCCTGGGATTAATCGTCCTTTCTCTGAGTTAAAGGTGACAATGTATTTTATCTCTATGTAGGCCCACATCAGGTTTACACCCTTGTAGTTTTTCTACAAAAATTTTTGAAAAGAAAATAGATTTTTTGTTTATGCAGAATGGCTGTCATCTCAAGTTTAGACTTTACTGTTGTGGGTAGGTTATGTACTTTTCTACTTTTATGTCTTCACAAAGCCTTGTATGGGACTACGTTTGGCTGCAAGTCATCTTTTTTCTGTGGCACTGGAGTCTATTTTCTCTTTTGTTAAAAGAACAATATAATTTCATACGAACTAGCATTTTTGTCACATATGATAAAGTTTATTCTTTTTTGCTTTATTATATTCTGTAGTAATGGGAAGTAAATTTTTTATATTGTGATTGAATCCCCTGTTTATTTGCCAGTCTTCTTGTGCTATGATGATCTCTACCTGTATGTGTACTTACATAGATATTTTACTATTTGATCAAGCTCTGGGTTATATTTTCTAGCCTTGTTTTGTTTATCAATTAAATATATATGTTTTGTCACAGAAAAATCTATGGAATGCTTGGATAGCAATATCAGATCTTCGTGATACTGTGACCAAAAAAAGACACAGATTGCAGTTGCTGAGGCAGAAATTGAAACTAGCTTCCATTCTGAGAGGACAAGTAAGCTTTATTATTCCCCTTTTCTTTTTTATGTAAAGTAGAACTCTTCTGGAATCTTTGGGTTAAGTAGTATCTTATATACCAATCTAACTACCTTAAGACACGTTTTCTTAATATCCTA